AAGGGTATAATAAATGAAATAAATGAAATGAAATGAAACTTAATATCCTTGAATTTTTACTAACGCATACTACCAAACAGAGCAAGATTATAATCGGAGGCGATTTTAATGCTCCCATTGTAATCTGGTCGGATGACGGTGTGGCCTGCCACGGAACTAGTCTATCTGATGTGCTTAATGATATAGCACTTAGTCGGTGTCTTCGTCAGTCTTTTGAAGAGGCCAAGCAGATTCATGAAACATTGTGCACATTGTTAGACCTGAAACTCCTTAGTAAACATTTTGACCACAGTAGTGTTTCTGTTCATGAGGGCATCTCGGATCACAAGTTAATATTCCTTAAATGCAATCTTAACGTTGCTCAGAGCGGCTCGGCTGAAGTGAAGCTGTATTATGATAACGAAAGAGAAAATGACGAGTCAGTTATTGACTACCTAAAGGAGCACCTTGACAGGTTTAATGAGAATGCTGATGTAAACGAGATCTGGTTAAACTTTAAGGGCATTGCATATCATTGCCTATCAAATTACATACCAAAAAAAAAAACTAAAACGATAAAATGCAAAAACTTATGGATTACCAGAGACATTTTGCATGCTAAATGTAAACTGAAAAGCCTTTGTAAGTGTCGCTCAACTGCTATCTCTGAATAAAATGAAAAACTAAAATCAATGATAAAGCTCGCCAAAGAAGCATATTTTACAAAGTCCTGGCCTAATTTCATTACATCTTCTCCTGAAAAATTATTGCGCTATCTGTGACCTTCAAGGTCTAGCATTGCTCAGATATGCGTTAATGATAACGTCGTGAGTGACAGAAACAGATTTTCATTAGAGTTTAATAGCTATTTTCAGTCTGTTTTTACAATGGAGGTAAGCGAATCGAACACCATTCCTAGCGATGAAAGATCTAACGCGTGCAGCTTCATATCAGAACAGGGTATTGTGTCGCTGCTATTATCACTAAACGTAAAAAAATCTACTGGCCCAGATGGTCTACCAAACGCGTTTTTTCAGAGATATGCTGAATGGGCTGTAGAATGTTTAATGTGTATCTTTTCCAAGTCACTCAGGGAATCTGCAATACCGGACGACTGGTTAATAGCAAGATTTGCACCAGTTAAAGAAGGTGGTAAAAAAGACTCAATCAATATTTGTCACCCCATTTCTTTCACTTGTACGTCGTATAAATAACTGCAGCACAGTGCAAACAAACAGTTAATATATTTTCTTGATTAATATGAACATACTAAGTCCAAATTGACACGGTTTCCATAGAGGGCTATCTACAACGCAAATAATTGAATGTTATCATGAAATATCCCGTCATGTAAATGATCATTTACAAGTATCTAGATGTCATTTTTATCGATCTGTCAAAAGCGTTTGATCGCGTACTACATCACAAGTTAATCAATGTACGCACTGACCTCGGTGTTCCTTCATTTTTTGATAAAATGGATAAGAGTATACCTTACAAATCGGCAGCAGTTCGTAGATATTGTGGCACTTTTCCGATTTGTTAAGCATATATTCTGGGGTTCCACAAGGCTCTGTATCGGGCCCATTGCTTTTTCTAATATATGTCAACAGCTTGTTTTCTATTAACAGTGACAGGCCAGTAAAAATAAGAATGTTTGCTGATGATTGTATAATACAATCCTATAACCTCCGTGGACGACCAGATGAAAATAAATAATACCTTATCTGGTATTTCAACATGGTGCAGCGAAAATAACATGAAAATCAAAATCGGGAAAACTCAATACATGCATATTACAAAAAACAAACAAAAAAACTTTGCTTTGATTATGGGCTTGATGCTGGTAAGGGGGGACACAACCCAGAAAAAAAAAATTCCTGCAAAAAAAGTTGATTTTGAAAAATGCCATACAACAACATCTAGAGCAGGGGTGGGCAAGTCAAGAGCCGCATGCGGCTCTTCACGTGTTGAAGTGCGCCTCACGGCTCCCTCCCTTACCACCCTCACTCCCCGCCTCCCTTCCGGTCACACAAGCACTTCCCCTAAAAGAGAAATGGAGCCGTTTTAAATCGAAAGACAGGTTGCGGTTTGGTAGTTTTGTGCTACTGCTACCTTACATACAGTTGGACTGCTTTTGACTCTCAGATAGACTGAAAGTAGTTTGAGTTTTGTTTATTGCTCTGGGCAAAAGTTTGCACTCGACCCCCCCTACCGCGGCTCTCGGAAGTTTCGCGGTTTTGTTTGCGGCTCTTAGGCCGGGTCACAGAAAGTTTCTTTTGTTTGCATGGCATAATTATTTCTTTATAAATTATTTTCGGTCCATCGATGCTAAAGAAAGGGTAGAAGTTCAGGCACTTTGAATGCGTTTTTCTCAGTTCAGCTTTTTGGCAGCAAATCCCACCTCAATAAAAGTTTCAGTATGAAGCTGTCGAGAGACTTAATATTCACGGCTTATATGCCGGGATTTTATGAAGCCGGTTACTATGAACCTCAATTTTGCATTTTCATGTTTATTTATTACGAAAAATTGTTATTTGCAAAACTTAATAACTACAAAAAAAAAAAAAAAAACATTTTTTTTTTATAATTTTTTATTTTATTTGAAAAATGCATATTTTCTGAAATTTCTTTTCATATTAATCGGCAACAGGTATTCCAGTATGCATTTCACCAGGAAAATATGCAGTTATCAACACCATTTCTCAACGATAGATTCATTGAGCAGATTCCATGCAAAGCTACATTCTGGGGTTATAGTACCTCATAAAATTGGTTCACAGGGCTGAAACTTTGCATGCCCTTTTTTTATGTGGCTAGAAACGCCACCTGCAAATATCACGCCGATTGAGTAAGCGGTTTAAAAGTTGACATTCCCAAGTAGTGTCCCCCCTTAAATTAAGCTTTCCAAAGTTGAAAGCTACAAGTACTTGGGTGTCATTATCAAGAGCGATCTAAAATGGAACAGACATATCGACTATGTAAAAAAATACAAGGCAACAAAAAAACTCTTGTATCTACAAAGAAGGCTGTTTAGGGCACCTCCTTCAGTTAAGACTCTTGCGTATAAAGCTCTAGTAAGACAGACCCTAGAGTATGCATCCGAAGTCTAGGATCTCTGGCAGGTCACACTCTCAAGGGAGCTTGAAAATGTACAGTCACTGGCAGGGCGCTTAATCTTTTAAGGCTTTAGGAATACTACCTATGTCTGTTATGGTGCTGAAACGACAGGCAGGTTTGCAGCCACTAAAAAACCAAATTATGTTCCAGAGCCTGAAATTGTTTTTTCAGATATATAATAACCTTCTTAAAATTGATAAGACAAAATATGTAAAGCCGAAAAGCTACCAGCTAGATCGCTTACATCACTTGAAACTTTTAACTGCCACTGATGCCCGTGTACATATTTTTAAGCAGTCATTTTTTGTTCAGGTGGTAGAGTTGTGGAATAAATAGTGTCGTTGCGCTGGAATTCCTTCCTGAATTCAAGAATGCCATATGTGTATTGTTTGAACTGTAACAGTGTGACGCTTCTTGTGTGTGTGTATCTGTGAGTGCATATTTTTGAGGTGTGCTTCTTAAAGATTGTTCTGAATGTTGATATTTGAAAGCAATGTGTGAGGTGCATATTTTTGGGGTGCAGTTCTTAAAGATTGCTCTGATTGATGACATTTGAAAGCAGTGTTGGATTTGATTTCCATGTTTGTATCACTCCTCCTGCCTTGGCCCTTGACGGAACTGGCAGTATTGCGAAATAAATAATAAAAACAAATAATAATAAATAAGTGCCACCTGGCAGTTGTACTTAGCGGTGCCTAGACATGGGTGGTCTCAATAAACTTTCTTTTTTCCTCTCGCTCTCCACTAAGCGGGCAAGTGTGCGGCAGTGAAAGTGAAGTACAAGAATAGCTTGCAATGAGAGATGCACTGCAGAGCACGGCACACCCCATTTTCAAAAATATCTCAGAAAAAGGGGTGCGTCGCAGGGTTTAGTTGCATTTCTAAGAACAAAAATGGTCACGTGTGATTGTAATTTTGGGCTATATAGGATGCTTAGGGTGCATACACTGTGTTTGCACCATAAAAAGACAATCTCAAAATCCATCTTAGTGCCCCTTCAAAGGAGGAATAATTGACTCAATAGCAGTAATAGCCTAAATGTATCACTGTACAACCAAGCCACCAGTTGCAGCTTACACCAGACCAAGTCGGTGGATTTAAGTATAGCTTTGAAGAGTGCATTCGCATGTAATGATAGAGGCCTAGGCAAGAAAACAATATTTCACTATTCAAGCAAATGAGCAGAAAAAATGTCAGTAGCAACAAAACATGGCTAAAGAACCCCAGAGCCGTACATGGGGAGAGTCTGGCCAGTGGGTGTGGCGACGAAGACGCCGGAGAGGAGAACAGTGAAGGAAAGGGAGGGGAGCGCCGAAGGAGTGAGAGAGAAAGAAGGGAGCAAAGAGGAGACGACCGCCATTTTGACGCAACGCTGTCGGCGCGGAGCACTGTTGAGGCTACGCGTCCTCTGCTACAGGCTCATTTCTTTTTCGGTTGAAGCAAAAATTGCGTTCAAACGTGGAGAAACTTCATTCGTTAATCTTTTAGCCACCGAGGAATAACACTATATCATCTTCTTGCCAGAGCCTGCCACATAAAAGGAAATAACTGAAATTTGGATGTCAATCCCATGCATTCCACCGGGTGAAAGAATTCAAATGGCAGCCCTCCCCGCTCAGCTGGGAGCAGCCGGGAGTTCACGCGCATGCGCTCACGCCTCTTGTTCTGCGCCGCGGGCTGATTAGCTCACTCGGGAGGGGGACGTTACGGCGGCGAAATCATAGACTGGCCAAACTCTCCCCACATACGGCTCTGAAGAAACCATCACATCAACCTCAACCATGCCTCTTGAAAGTGTAAAAATAAGATGGCTACTGGCTGTCATAGCACCGGCAAAGTCAAGCCCTAGCAAAAAGACATGTGCCAATATGTATTGCACTTTATGCTGGTACCAGATTCACCTTAACAGTTGTCTTCTTCTGAGTCTGCTCACTGACCCTCTCAAGGAGGTTGATGAGGTCAGATTCTTGAAGCTGAAACAACAAAGCACGTAAGGCACAAGTCAGCCCAATCCCAAGTCCAAAGTGATACCCCAACTAGTAGAAGCAATGGGCTAATGTAGCTGCACAGTAATAAGGCACTTCAAATTTATATTTCTGCATGAGCCCATTCGAGATGACCTCAAAGAAATCCTAGAACCAGTTTGAATTTCCCGGGAGCAGGCATGCACGTAGCATACACACTCCAGTATTAACAAATTTTAAGGAAGCAAATATAGCCTAAAAAGGCTATACCAAGAAACAGCACAAAAAACACACAAAGTCGAACAGAAGTGGACGGGATGAGCACTCATCTCGTCCACTTCTTCCACTCGTCTTTGTGCGTCTTTTTGCACCGTTTCTCTACACACTTAAGGCCTGTTCACACTCTTGCGAACTCTTAGAACTGGGTTCCTTAAAACCTTTTACAACGAGAGGACACACTGGAGCCATCTATTGGGTAGCAGTGTAAACTTAGCGGTTCGGCATACTGTAAAACCCTTAATGTTCGCGAGCCCTCAATATTTGCGAATTTCACGAATTGAAAAATTCGCGAAATTTAAGGGCGCGCGAAAATTTCAGTCCTTAAGATTTTCAATGCAGGCGTCTGGAATTCGCAAAATTTAGTGGTCGCGATTATGTCATCTGTGACCAATTCACGAAAAATAGGGGCCGCGAAAATAAAGGGTTTTACAGTATTTTCTATTTCTCTCGCGCATTATCCTTTCTTTCTTGGCTCGAGAAACTTTTGTCAACGTTATAAACGAGCCTTTCTTATAGGTATTTCGCACATTTGACCTCGGAAATACCGCAAAACCTTTGCTCTTGTGAAATGCAGTTCCAGGGTCACCGCATAGATGGCGCCAGGGTGTTCTCTCGTCCTATGAAATTTTAAGATATGTTTTAACAAGTCCCGGTCTCTCTTGGTCGTACTCGGTTGCAAGAGTGTGAACGGGCCTTTATGAACCAACCTGTCTGTACCACCACTCTAAAAAGGCTGTCTTGTACACATTTTGCAGAAACAAATTGGGCTAGACATACAGCAATGCGCGCAACATTAAGTAAAATTGACTTGCAGGCACAATTTTATATACAGGGTGTTTGATTTTGATTCAAACATATTTATTTTTAAAAAAAAGTTTGTGAAAGGTTGAAAGTTGCAGTCTGTACAGGTGAGTTATACAGGCAGGGAGACATGTTATAAAGGGCTAATCTTCACGGTAAGCCAAATAATAAACTAAGGTTTCTTAATTAACTTTGTAATAAGTGAAAATAAAGATATGGTTCCAATTAGAAACTTGCCAAGCATAATCTAAAACCCCTAAATCAATTTGAGAAAGATTTGAAGCATGCGGTAAGTGTGGAGGCACGCTAAAGTTGTAACTTGTGCAACAGGCTCAACGCTGGCAGTCCAAAAACGCGAATGAAAAGATTCCCATCCGCGTTTTCGGATCGGCAGCGTTGAACCTGTTGCAAACTGACTAATTTCAGATGATGCAAAACAAGTTTCTAATTATAATCATATGCTTATGTTCACTAATTAATCTTTTAACTGTTTTTAGTTTTTGGGAATCTCTGACCCTCAACTGCTTAACTGTTGTCTTTAAAATCAAATTCCTTGCCTTCAAAATTGTATCTCTTGCCTTCAAAATTGCATCTCTTGCCTTCAAAATTGCATCTCTAGCCACAAACGGAATAGCAGCAACGTTAAAAAACCTCAGTGCTGCCATTTGTTGGCAGCTTTGTTGGCAACCAAGCCATGAGCGAGCCTGGCTCGTCCAAGACGGCCGAGTGCGTGAGCCGGGGAAAGCAGACGGGCAATACTCGTCCTGACCTGTTTGGGGATAGCCCCACAATAACAAACTAGGAACAAAAAGTTGGGGCGCAAACAAGCTGGTGAAGGTTTAACACTTTGGACAAAACCCCCGAGACTGAGGGGATAAAAAGGACAACACAACACAAAGTCTCAAACACAGCTCTGTGTGCTGTGTTTGAGACTTTGGTAATTAGGTAATTAACAAATTTTAGTTAATTATTTAAATTATTGTGACAATTATCCCCCTATATTATGTCCCCCTGACTGTATAGCTCATCTGCCCAGACTGCATTATTGTACCTTTCACTGCATTTTTTAAAAGAAATCTGTCTGAATTAAAATCAAACACTCTGTATGTAATAATAATAATAATAATAATAATAATCGAAGCTCGCATGACTACAGATTTTAATCTACTGAAAAAAAAAATCACGTGCAAAAATATAAGCGCAAAATCTTTAAAAGTCGTAGTCAAAATTCACATTATTAATATAAAAATTATTTAACAAATGGGGAAGTGCAACTTTAAGCATTTGAAATCCATAGTTGGTTTGCTGAGTGACCATCCTCCACTTGTCCGAACAATGAGTGCGGTATGCTGGTGAATTTTCCTCTAAAGACGCAAGGTTTTCTAAAAAAAAACATGAGCCCCTTATTTTATTTTTTTTTTTTTTTAACTGATGCAGAGTCTATATTTATATAACTTGTAAATAGTAACTATCTTAAAGTTACTAAATATTTCAGCAGTGTGAATGTCATAAGAAACATTACATACGCTTTTTAATTTTTTTTAAAACAAAAACGGTGCTTCAGTATTGGTAAGAGTTGATGAACCCGTCTAAATGGCAGTATGTTCAGTGAGAGTAAAATAGAGAGTTGTAAATTAACAATTTATCATTCGGGGGCAACAAGAAACAAAGAATAATTAATGTAGGCATTTTTTACATAAGCACCTACAAGAATTTTAAAGATTTGACTTGGGATATCAAGATAATTGCGAATATTGTTCTCTATTACCTGTATCGCCACCAAATAACTAACTGAACAAACGTCTCACCGCACCTGTGAGTTTGGGACATCAAATTGATTACTCTGCCCACTTCAAATCTTGTAGTATGTTAGAAGTGTGTCAGACTTCTTGAATGATAGTTTCTGAAGCCAATATACTCACCAGGATCAAAGTTTACAAAAACAGCAGATTTTGGAGATTAGAAAGTACAACTTTGATCAATCGAAAAATACTAAAGCTCCTCAGGTTTGAGGAAGTTTTGAGCCAGTTCCAAGTAACATCAATCTTCTGCTCAGACATTCTTGAAATGAAACGAATATTGTAAAAGCCCAAACAAAATCCTACCTTACTCTGTATCTGTCCCATCTGTACCATTCGCAAAAGCATGTTTTCCACAAGAGCCGCTTTCTCTGGTTTTGCCACTGCAATTGTGTTCACTGAAATGAAAAAGGCATAGGGACTCATAAGCAGTGAGCAATACTGTTAATGCTATTGTGGAAAGCAGAACACTTAATAAAAGTGAACTACTCCAAGAATCCAGTCATTTCAATAAGAAATATGCTTCAATGCAGCACACATCAACTCCTCGGTCAAAATCAACACAATTAAGCTTACGTCGTGCTCTGGCCTCCTGGGTCAGGGCTTGGCTGAGGACTTGGTTTTTGAAGTCCTCTGCTTTGGCTTTCTGCTCTGCTTCACGTTCCACATTGGCTGGCTCATTACCCTGAAAGTTAGACATATTAACTGAAATGAAATTATTGTAATATATAGTGTGTGCCCCCAAAAAATAAGTTTTTTTTTTTATTGCATTGATAAACGACGCACTGCAAAACGCTCAGACTCTGCTTGAATCTAGCACTTAGGTTCGAACCAATTGCCAAAGTTTCAGAACCGTTATCTTATTAAAAAGTTAGTGATTTTCTGAAAATTTTAATGGGTAAATAGGGCCCGTTCTTGCCAGCTGGCGCCATTCAGCTCCATGTATTCGAGGGCTCCGTCGGCTGCCGTTTTCCCATTGAAAATTGCAGAAAATCATTGACAACTTTTTAATGAGATAATGATTACTTCTGAATCTGTGGTATATAGTTGGGACTGCTAGCACTACATCTGGGTAGAGAATGAGTGTTTGACGATGCAGTTCTATTTTTCCGGTAAAAAAAAAACCTCCAAATATTTTGGGGGGACACCCTGTAGCTTCAAAAAGCCAGCATCTAATAGATAAACAAGGACATATACAGACTGCCTGAAACTCCAGTAAAACATTTTTGGGACATAGTTTCATAGCCCTTGCCACTACATGCAGTTAATTCATGACGTGGTCGCAAACACTCACTAATCTTGACAGCATTGTTTTGGTCATGTTGGGCTGTCATAGCTCGACTAAGCAAGGTGTGAGAGCAAATACTATGCGTAAAAGGCAAAAGTTTGCAAGTCCTGGCGACAGACAAATGAACCCCCGAAAGTAGGCCAGAAAAATGTTTATATGAATTTCCAATGCTCCGTCTTGTCTCAACCACCAACTGCAACGAAGGCTACGATTAGCTGTCAAAACGGGACACAGCAGGAGGGTGTGCAGCGACACAGCACCGGCATATGGCATACAATGGTCCACTTTTGTCCATTTTTGCACTTCTGTCCTTAATGGAAGCCCCAAACGTGCTCATCGCGTGGGTCCGGACAGCCACTCACATGCTCTGCTGGCTATCAGTCAAGGCCTATGTCGTTGTTCCGGTCCGAGCCTCCCGAAAACAAGAAAAGAAAGTATACGAGGGCCAGGATGCGAAAGTCCATCGGCCTTCCTCCCATGGCAGCCACAATTGGCGTAGCAGAACGGATGAACAGGCACACCATTGGCAGGTTGCATGCGATGTCAGTTCTTACGAGCACCAACGAAACAGAAAAACCGAGGAGGAGAGGAGGAAAGCCGAGCCGCTAGCGTGGTTGATGTCCAAACTGGAAACGTCCGCGGACAGCAACATTCACTTCGTATGTCGGTGCTGTGTTGCTTTACGCCATCTGACGTGCCCGCTTTGGATGCGCCTTAACCATGAACAGGTAGCCTTGAGCTTGCATTTGTAGCCTTCATTGCAGTTAAGAATAAACAAACACAGACAACCCAAAAGAGATTAATTTTTATTCTCCAAAAGACGGAAGAGCAGCTTCAATGAGCAAAAAGGTTAATTTGAGTGCAAAACTGCCTTTCAAATATCAACACCCTTCTCCTGCAATAGCCTCGCTTTTTTTTTTTTTTTAATTACAGGTTGCGACTTATGTAGCATGTGAATATTCAGAAATGTATAAGCGACAAAAAAAGTTATCATAATTCATCTCAATCAACAAAATATATTACTTAGGCTCTCAAGAGAGAACAACTTTCCTTACTTTAGAGATTTATAAAAAGGATCATGGAACATGCTCACTTTTGTTAACTGCAGCCACTCGGGTGGCATCTCGTCACAGTCTTCAACTTTATTCACATTGAGCAAAAACAGTTTGACTGTGCACAAAGCTTCCACACATGGCATTTTTTTCAGGTGAACTAAATCCTGGGATTGACTGAAAAAATTGAAACTCTAACCGAGTTTGAATAAAAACAAAATACCCCAAGTTTTGGAACCAGCTTGGTCCTTTTTCAGTCATATTTTAGTCTGTCTATTCATTTTCTAACCGAATATGTTCACATTTAAATCCTGGGATGTCACACTCCTGGGAGTGATCTGTCTGCTCGTATATTTTTCTTCATGAACACATTGCTACAAGCAGGGCCGGCCTTACACCATCGAGCGCCCTGGGCGAACTCTGGCCGTGGCGTCCCCCCTCTTCCTTTTTTTTATACGGCCCTATCTACTAGGTATGGCATCACATTCTTAGTAAACATGTGAGTAGTGACCCAACACGAGCGTTTTGTCGAGATGAGAACCGCATTCCGAAAACGAAGTGCGGTGTGTTCAAATATATTTTAAAAAAAAGCTAAAAGAATTACCAAAGGGGGCGCGGCGGCGGCACCCCCAACGATGGCGACCTGGCCGATTGCCCAGGTCGCCCACCGCTAGGGCCGGCCCTGGCAACAACTATCAGAGCTTAAGGACGATATGAAGACATTGTTGCACACATAAAACACTTAGTAATTTTGGTGTGTCAGAGCCCCCTTTAAGATTAGATTAACTCTAGAAAAGACTGGCCTTGTGATAAGCTGCAAAAAGATTTAAATTATTTTAGAGCCTACCACAAACCATTAGATATCATGAATTACATTAATTTGTTTGGGCATGGTTACCTCCATGCCTGGTGCAACAAGGGACTTTTTCTGAGAAGAGCTCTGCCTGTGGCTCCCACCTAGTGGCATGGCTCATACGTGCATGGGAAGGAACTGGGAAGCTAGGTCGGCTTGTTTGCGACAGTACTACCTTAAAGGGGTGCTGAACCGAAATCTGGATTCCCCAAAACACGCGGCAAAAGCGTGCAACGGGATGCTACAAACACCAAAACATCACTCATACAGCGATATCTCGAATGGATGACCGTATTTTTCAAAAAAAGAGGCGCATTTGGCAGGAGTGTTGATGTCATGTTTCTCTGAGAAGGAAAGGGAACGGCCTCGCATCTTCTCCGGCTCGCGGCCTTGAGGGAGCGAAGCGAAGAGAGGAGGAAACTAGGTATCTTGACGGACACGCGCCTCGTCGGCCTGGTTCAATCTCGACTTCTTTTTCCAAAAATACGGCCGTCCATTTAAGATATCGCCTTACTAGTAGTGTTGTAGGGATTGTAGCGTCCCGCCTACACCTCCAGCATTGTTTTTATGAAATCCAAATTTCGGTTCATTATCCCTTTAAAGGAACACTGATACCTCCCAAAAATGTTCTGTTATTTTTTGACACACAATTTATTATGGTGTCAGAAGACTACCCAATGAATATTTTGCTACAGTGTCACATGTATTTTTAATGAAGTAAAAAAAACGCAATTGCTCAAAACCGAAATTGAACTGGGAGGAAGAAGAAATATAGAGGAGGAGTGTGTTACCAAAAATCCCGTAACTGTGCAACTTTTTTTTTTTTTTTTTTATGTATTTGCTGTTTATTAGAAGCCCCGAAAAATTGGTATTTTTATTTTTTTTATTTTTAATATTGAGTGTGGTGACTCGATGACCCACAACGTTGATTATGTTTGGTGGTTCTGTCTAAACTATAAAGAATGGTACATGACCATGGAGAAGAGAGAGAGCGCGACTCAAACCGGCCAGTTCTCGATCGACACTTTTCGGGAGGAAAGAAAACGATTTCGAGCCACTTAGGCTCTCATATATCATGTACAAATTCATGTACATGTACCTTGGCGAGCATAAATACCCCCTCAGTGTCCCTTTAAAAGCACTGATAATGCTGGGGTACCTAAACTCAAAGCACGCTATCTCCACATGCCACACAGTTCAAGCAATAGCTTTGGCAGAGTGTTCTTTCACAAGATGCAGTTTTGAGCAGGCTGATGACATCTGCTCGGAGAAACTGTCATGCATCAGTTTCTCGAAGAGCAAGTGACACATATTTTGTTCATATGCAGAACTCTACACCAAGGTTGGTTTGTATGCCCGCCGCTTGGTACAATTTTTATGCATAAAACACATTGTGCAGGGCTTTACATTTTGCAGAGAAATCTGAAGTCACTGGATTTTATAGAAAATGGTTAACTTTTGCTGCTGCATTCTGCACCATACAACTGCTCTGTCCTACTCCTCTGCATTTTAGCTCTTCAAAACCTCCGGCGGCGCCCGCCCGCCCGCCCCTTGGCCCAAAGGAAAAAAAAAGGAGTGAAGGCAGATGCTTTTTTATTGTATTCATAAAGAAGCGAAATGCGCATAGGAAACAAGTTTTGGCGGATTTGAGCTGAGAAAGCTTAGCTTATTTATTGACGAGAAATAATGTGTCCGAACTGATTACGTCTTCGAAACAAGCCAATCCAGAGGATCACCGTTAAAGGTGAGACACAGAACTGCGTTTTTGTTCACCTCTGCTCTTCAGTCAATCGGCTGGGAAAGAAAACGCATAATATAATTTTCCTTTCCCATGTCACTACGGTTCAGCGGTGACAGTGGCAGTCAGTCCCATTAAGTGCGGAGGATCGGTCATCGACTCGGCCTTGGCAAGCGTCACCGGCAATGTCGATGAAATAACACGCACGAAAAGCGCTTCTCTCGTTTCGGTAAATAACCAAGCCTCAAAACGAAGCATGCCAAACTTGTCGAATAAAAAGGAACTCCTCAGCGCGATGCACGTGCGTTGTCGATGGCCAACCGGGACCATCCCAAAAAAGGAAGCGTCAACAAGCCCTCGTTACAGAAACTGCCTAAACCACCAAATGCTCAGTCTCGTGGGACCACGTACGTCGTACCCTTAGTGTATTTACCGTTGAAGAAACACAGAACCCAAAGGCGCAAATACCATAATAAGCAAGAAACGCGGCAAGACAGTTTGGTGCAGCAGTTGTCAGCCAAAAGCTTAGTACGCTTTGGATGACAAAGGCGTCTAAACGGGGGAAGTATTCCTCTCTGTTGGGAAAATATCCTACCCGATTTCCGCCGAATTCTTCCTGCAGAGCGCCCAAGCGCCTTGCACGTATTGCTGCCAGTTCTTCGTCCCCCATCGCTCGCTGATGCGTTGAAGTTGACGAAGCAACGAAGCAGAAGCGCAGAAGCAATGCGCCGCGGATGGATGGATAACAACGGCTGAACCCTTTGTAACGGGCGGTAGCTTGCGCTACCTAGCCAAACAGTGCCTGCGACGCTCCTTCGGGAGCGACCGCCCTAATCGATTCTTTTATGCAGCTGAATACTGAATAATGACAGAAGCCTGATTTTCTCTTTCCGGTCAATGCGTTTCTCTAACCATGGCCTCCGAGATCGTGAAGCGCGCGCGCTCCCAGATCTCGGAGGCCATGGTTAGAGAAACGCATTGACCGGAAAGAGAAAATTTCCTTTTTTCTGGGTATTTCTTTCCTTCGTTGATCCACACTCCCACATTTTTGTACTTGTCCACCATATACATCTCTATGTTCTGTATCTTTAAAGCATCCCCCTTAGTGTCGATAAAAAAAAAAAACATAATTCAGACCGACCGTGAGACCGCAAAAACAAACCAAAACTAAGTCCCAGGTCTAGTCAGTCTAGTCAGTCTAGTCAAGCCATAGGTCAAGCCAGAGCCAAATGTTGCCGATGTTGCCTAGACGACGGAGGCGCGTCTACTTTGAAGACTGAACGTCTGTGACACTGCTGTAGGCGATGTGTCGGAGCACTCTGCAGCTCGGAGTACGTAAAGCGAAATCTCGTGCTGCAGTACAAGGGACTCTGGGTCAACGACTGGCTCTTCTCTGGCACCTCTTTTTCGATGTCCTCTTTCCCCCATCCTCTAAGCCTGACCTGCCTTAGCCAACCCGGCTTGCGCACACTTATGAAGCAAATCAACGGTTTCCATTACGGTAATTTCTGTACTTTTCTGTGTAGTTTTTCACTCAATTATTTCGAACGAGATTTAACTGTTGTATTTTATTACTTACCGAGAACTTACATGCTTCGACTCCTATTTCTTCAGTTGGATTTGGCAAATTGTCGCACGACAAAACTTGCACACAAGTGTTGTTCCAATAACAAACGTGGATACTTTAAAATCACTAAATTCCGCGACAAAATCGCTGAAAAGCTGGATCTTTTTTTTTTTTTTCCCATCACCTCCCGTCTGTACAGGGTGGAGTGGTGAAGGGAGTTTTATAGAAGCTTTTTCAGCTACCCCTCCCACTCCCTCCTAGGAAATCTACGGGCTCATAGCTTTCATTCTTGTAAAAACACAATCCCCCCTCCCTCTAAAAAGCAAGAGTATAACACAGACTGGAAACTGTACGTAACATTGGCTTTTGTCGTGATCAAGTACAATATAACCTGTTGTCCTGAACAGGACAACAGGTTATATTGTACTTGATTACATGAATGGTACATTTCCCTTTGTCAAGAGTTTGCGTCTCTAAAGGAGACTGGATGGCTTCTCGTCAGGACCACTCACCCTGTGCTCGATCAAAGCACAGAACCCTACCTGTCTTCTAAAATTCCTACTAGTTTTTCAAAGGTGGGGTTCATTTTTCTAATCACAGGAGTGTGCAGTGTGTTTCAGCTGCTGACAGTGGCCATGCACACATTTGAGTCACTGTTGTGCCACAGCCACCGTATGTACTTACAGGGACCTGCAGGAGACGTCCGACGCAAAACGCAAGAGCCCTTCCTTTACAAATTGTCAAGGCGGCACGCAAAAACAGGTGAGATAATGATGTGTACATAACGTGATATGGCTAAACTTGACACGTCTTGTGAAATTTAGATTCAAAGTGTCCACATACCTAATTTTTGCATTGCATTCGCTGGTTAAATCGAAAAACACGAGCATTTTCTACCCGATCAGAGAGAGAGAGCGAGGAGCACCCAACATAGAGACAGGCCAGTCAGTGGCGTCACGAGGGTCAGCAGCACCCGGGGCGGCAGCCCGCCGCGACACCCGACACCCCCCCCCCCCCCCCCCCCCCCCCCACACACACACACACACACTCTCGCTCTCGTGGCCTGCCGCGACACCCCCCTGAGCGCTGCACCCGAAGCAATCCCCCGCCCCCTTCCCCCCCCCCCCCCCTTGTGATGCCACTGAGGCCATTGAGGCTGACTGGATGGAGGCCAGCGGGACCTCAAGTTGGAGTTGCTGGCCTTCATCCATGCTAGCCTCCAGTTTCAGTTTATACCCGTTTGTTTTTTCTCACAAAAGACATAATCAATTGACACCACAGTCTAGTGCATTGCACAAAAATGTTAATTGTCTTTTTTTTTTTTTTGATATCAGGCTTTTTAAGATGCCTTCAATAAAAATAGTCACACAATATGCCAGTCATCGTAAAAGCTTTATTTGATTTGGTACCGTAATACGTCACAGCTGCCACTTGAAATAGTGTGTTGCAATTTAAAATGTGAGATATTTTAGATTACCAATTTTTACTTTTGTTTTGCAAGGAAGTCTGTATTGTACATCACTTTTTAAATTAACCCCTTAAGTGCCAAATTTTTTTTTCGAAAGTAACCTAAAAGTGCCAATTTTTTTTTATTTTAAATTGTTATTCCTCTAGTATTACACATAAAATTTGAAAAGTTTATTACACAAAAATCAGCGGAGGTGAAAAAAATATTTGCCAACTAAAACAAGTGCTGCCATTTATGATCAGCGTTGCAAAACTACCTGGACAAGCCTAGCACGTCCGTGGAATTGAGGGCTACCGAAGAAACCACTGGACGAGCTGAGCTCGTCCACGGCATTTTTAGCCACGACGAGCTCAGCTTGTCCAAGGCACAAGGGGTTAATTGCCAAATGCAAATTTTCTTATGCTTGTGAATGCCTCCATTTCATGCTAGTCGACCATGACTGGTCAGTTTCCTGTTTTAGGGCCCAAAATAAATAACAAAATATAATTTAATTGAAGCAGCAACATTCAAAATATGGTTTTGATTACTGCCACGCTCCAAAGTCGGCTATCCTTCTATGCTTCATCTCTTGTTCCAGTATGTACTATAGGGCTCTGCTACAAGAAACCAGTGGTAACAATAAATGGCACTGAAAAGACTCATACTTTCATTCTCCCCATGTCACTGCTTTTCTGTAGTGGGTCCTGTGGTACCAAAAAGCACAAATTGAGTGGTACACATTGGTACTGATAAATGCTTGCTTAGCTTTCACGCCCAAAATTGGCACCACCTACCTTGCAGCTACCCAGCAGCGTTTCCAAGTGGTACCAATAAGCAATAGTAGAGTTGTTCGCACTGGTGCTCGTAGGCTCTTCCAGCTTTCATCCCCAAAGTTGGTTACGTCTGCATCATCAACTACCAATTTCCTCACACTTCAGCTTCTATGAAGGGTCTAAAACTTCCCTTTTACGTATTGGTGTTGTCGTGCATGTTGGTGGTCATAAACACTTGTTTAGGTTCTATCCCCTAAGTGGGTCTCATCTAAATGACTAAACTACCACTTTTCCCTAGATTACGGTTTCTTAGCAGTGTTTATAATAGCATCAATGAGCAAACACCGAGTTGTACAAATTGGTGCTATACCAGCTTCGTTTGATGTACCTGCACCTCCTGCACCGGTGCAAAAAAAAAGTGCAGGGCAGTGTACTTCCTGTCGTATCTGAATACAGATACCGGAAGTACACTGCCCCACACTTTTCTGCACCGGTGCAAGAGGCACAGGTGAATCGAACAAAGCTGCTACACATTGGAACTCATTGAGCCTGACCCACTATCACCGTGGCATGATCTTATTGTGAGCGGGTTTCCAGTTTACTGCAGCTTGGGTATCTTGTGCATTCATTTAAGCTTTTGAGATATGAGAACACTTTTTAATTTTATCATTTTTCTGAGACAATATTATATAAGAAGGTGGCCCTTCGTAATTTCTCCGAGTGGTTTAGGCCCGTATTGCACTCCGAGTTTAAATATGACGCTTGCGACCTTGCAGTGAACAGGTGAATAAATTGAAGAAACAACAACACTATCTTCCCACGTATACACTTGGCCCCACGGATGCTACCCATGCTCTAGGAATGCAAGAACTCTGCATAACGCCGCTGCTACGTTCTAAATGTAAATGGAAAATAAGAGAATGTTAGAAATCTAACAATAGAAATATATAAATAATTCTGCTACCTTTTTTAATGAAGAATGTACCGACAAAAAAGGGAGGAGGACGCGCAAGGGGGGGTAGGGGTTTAGAAAAAGGGATGATAAGGTAGAGTGAACCCCCATCCAAGGAGAAGAGAAACATGTGTTTCATAAACCAGAACAGCAGGTATGTGGTGTACTCATGAACAGTACTGTTTTATGTCAGGATAAATAGGCAAATGCTTTAAACATTAACATTTTTATCTAGCTAACTTGGCAGTAATATGTAGCTGAAGTTTGATAACCGCCCTTCAGATTTTCAGAGCTCAAGGTGTATGCTTGAGCACTTGTCAGCCTGGGAAGGATGCTTTTCTATGTAGGTACTCTGCGGTGCTGTGAAAAAGCAGCAAAGTGCGGACATCGCAACAAATAAATTAGTTATACAAAATCACAAAAAGACTTCATACCTTGGTGCACAAAGTTTAATGAGCATCATTTGGCATATTGAAACAGTTTTAAAAGTGTGTGGAAAAACGGGTTGAAGGGTGCATCATACTTAATTGTCGCAAATAAGGACATCATTGTGCTGACAGTATTGCAGTCACTTGGCAACACATATATATGGAGTCATTGCACAAAGCACAAAGGAAAGGTAAGGTTTTTAAAAGTTGGAGCACTCGTATTCATTCAGAACTATGAAACACACAATTCAATAGTGCACTCAAAAAGCACAAAGAGCTGTTTGAAAGACTAGTGTTTAAAGGGTACAGAGAGCAGAATCAACGCTTAGTAGAAATATCAGCATTCGTAACCTCAGAATAAATCTAATGAACCAAATAGAATAAAACATATGCCAATATTCTAACAGCATAGGACAAAAACAAACTATTGAATATTTTCTGTCACTGCAATCATCATATAAGCTGGACTGCTTTCCCTGTTATATAAATTTTAATTAACAACAGAAGTATTTCAGTAAAAGCTACAAGATATCTTATAGCTTAGAGTTTACCCATTATTTTCTCCCCAGATTGAACCATAATATGCAA